CTGTACTAAACCGTCTTTCATTTTCGTCATATAACTCGAATTCATGTGTCCCAGCCTGCGATGCCAAGTGCCTCCTGTCACTTTCGCTGCCGCTGCAATCAACTCTCGGTTAAACACGTTTAGTCTATACCTAAACACCGTTGTTTAATTCAGCTGTACCGACTAACACATTGTTCTTATTATAAATGTGACAAGAACTATTGTCAAATCTGACCGAATTACCATTTTTAATAAGTTCACTAACAGAAAGCAAGTTTGTGGTTAGGTCTTCCACACACAACACACATCGAGATAGTATAAATGAAGACGCTATTTAGCATCTAAACAATACTATTAAAATGGGACCTGTGGGCGGGGCTTAGTGTCGTACCAATATGGCCGACTTGCCAGGGCCGGATCCTATTGTTTTTAAGCTTAATTACCAAATGTAATAATGTGTTACAAATATGGAACGATTATAAAAAAAGTTTAAGTTTATTTGTGTAGGTCCGAATGGGGTAGTTTTAAAAGCTATCAGTAAATATCAAATGACTAAGTACCTATACCTAAATTTTCTTGGTGGAATTGAATTGTGAAAGTTAAGTTGACAAATGGTGCATAATAGCACAGACAACATATACTACAGACGGTCAATCTTAAGGGGAAAAAGCACGCTAAGTTTTGTGTCAAATATCCCCTTATTTAAAAACCTGCTATCCCTCTATTTTGCTCCATCTATTAGCACATACAACAATGTGTTGGTTCTTCTACAGATTTCTTTTATTGGAATGGTTTTGCAAATTGTCTAGGGAAAGAAGTATTGATACTTTTTTGTTAGAAAGCTGTCCCACAAGAAATCCCCATAATTTACATCTGAGGCGAAGTGCTGATAATCTTTGCAGGTACACATACAAAGCAAATATCACTTCATATTCGCAATTACGTATTACTCGTTGTCTTTGGGTGCATAAGAAACGATATAACTTGCACTACCTTTCGAATTCTCGAAAAAAGTGTAATCTCCGTGTTTGTTTATATACCTACGTACTCTACTTGCCTACTTGTCTCTCCGCTTGTGGAATAAATCTTGCAATCAGCAATTTAACTTCATTTAACTTGGATAAAGAAAACCTAAACGTAAGCAAATTTTCGAATGAATATTTGCCTCATATGTAATAAATCCCATTTGAGGTGTGCAATTATCGGTCAATTACAGCGGTAATTGCATTGTAGAAAACGAAAGAGCCCTGCGATAATTGCACATTTCATGGGAATACACTTAACAATTTTATAAGTAGGTAAGGTGAGTTTGTAATGTTTATTCGGGAAATATTCCCCCGAATTACACTCGTGCATCAAAATAATCCTGATAATTTTTAGCGCATTTTCCAACGAAGTTGGGTGCGCTATTGCAGCCACTTTCTCTGTCCGTCCGTCTGGCCGAGGCCTTAACTACTCCTACAGTTTTTGAAGATATTTAGTTCGTTCTTTTTGCATTCGGTAGCGTATCGCTCTGGCACCTGAGTCAAAGAAAATCTTGACGATTGAACTGCGCATGCGCAGGCTGCGCAATGTTAACTTTTTTATTTATTAATATATTTTGTTGAAATTTTAATCACAGATACTTGTAGTAAAGGCAAATATATCGCATATAGTAAAAATCAGATGTGCGCATGCGCAGACTGCGCAATGCGAACTTTCTTTATGGAGATATTTCTTTGAAATTTTAACCAAAGATACTTATAGTAAAAGCAAAAGTATTGCATTTTATAAATATCAGATTAATAATCGCATGCGCAGGACGCGCAATATCAACTGCGCAGTAAGTGTCAACTTCCTTATTTATGAAGATATTTCTTTAAAAGTTTAACCATATATGCGTCTAGTAATGAAAAACGTAGCGCACATATAGGTATGGCCTTTGGGGAAGTATTGATCAATTTACGGAAAATGCGCTGAAGTTACACTTCATAATTTGTTAAAAGAGCATTTTGATGCACTTGTGCAATTACCTACGAAAATTGTCACAAAGCAAAGTTTTAATAGCGATCCTCGAGATGGTTTATAGTTTTATATCTATTACTGTCTGCCGGTTTAGTGCGTTGTCACTTCACTCAACGAAACCATGTGTATTGTATGCAAAAAAATCCCCTGAATCCGTAAATGACAGTCTAGCTGACCGGAAACTCCGGGAACATATTGCTATACACAAGTAAACGAAGAAAAAATGGGAAAATGTCGTTTTTTCGCATTTAATTAGGTATCTCGTTAACTATTCCTCTTACGGAAAAAATGAAGAGAACGAATTTGTTTAGGATCGATTTTTGTATCCGATACAGTTGGTATGATTTTTATTAAACAGAGTGCCAAGGGTCTATCATAAAGTTACTTTCTTGTTCTATTTCTGGGGTTTCCACTAAACTAATTCCACAGTCCGTCGATTTGCAAAACTCATCGGGACAACAGACAATTGTTGGAATAGGTTGTTTTACGGTTCCACCATCCATAAAAATATTGAAAACGCTCTAGGAGTCATCCAGTTTGAAGGACAAAGCATCGAGAAGGGCGTATCAACAAAAACAAATGTTAATTTTTGGGATTACTTTTTTTGTATTTTTCCAGAAAAAACAATAACATTTAAAAATGAACGGTTCTGTACCAACCAGTGCTCGGAATGGAAATTTTCGCCGGAACGCAAGCATCAGCCCATCAGGAGGAAGGGGGGAGGGGGGGGGTAACATAGAAAACATGTACTACGTACATTAAAACAACGAGAAAACGTAACAAAAATTAAATGTTTCATTTTTATTGTTTCCCTTGGTGTGGAGACCAGTGGATACTAATGGGTTTCGTGTGCTGGTATGATCTGAAGGACGTATTTTCGTTTCCATGTGATTTTTATCGCATTAATGACAAATAATCCAACAATATGTAGGGTTCTGTAAAATTTCTTTGTGTGCGGATGGAGAGGATCTGACGCTGCGGTCCCTTTACGAAAAGGAACAGTGTACAAATATTTTCGACGAAACGGAACAATATTGTAATACTTTTTACCAACCGGAACAGCGTTCCGGCTCGTTCTGGTCCTTTCCGAGCCCTGGTACCAACTGAAAATTCGATTCTAAACAAATTCATTTCTATGAGCTCGAGCAATAGTTGACGAGATAATTGGAAGTCAAATGCGAAAAAAACTGCATTTTTCCATTTTTTCTTGTTTTTTTTTTGTGTATAGCAATATGTTCCGGGAGCTTCCGAGCAGTGAACTACATAGAATACACTTGGTTTCGTTGTGTGAAATGCCAACATCCAGTTCAGAATACTTTTGGAGCTAATTTGACTGGACTATGTTGACCCTACACATTGACATAAAATAAAGTTCGTTAAGTGCTCCCTCCCCTAATAAAAAAAAATTGTGATGGTATTATCACAGATACATATAGGTAGGCAAGGCCGTGCGAGTAGGAGGGGCGAGGGGGGCCCAGGCCTTGGACGCCAAGCCTGGGGGGCGCTAAAGTCGCCCGTCGTCGCCTTCGTCGGGACGTCAAAGGCGTGAGTGAAAGATTTACCTCGAATTATATAAACGAATCAGTATTTCGTATTCGTTTCGTATTTTATAAATTCAGAATCAGTAAAAATTTAAAAATTAAAAACTGTCGCGTTTATAAAATCGGTAATTCCATGGAGTTAGGAAACCAAACAAAAGCGCCTGCATTTGTCATGTTTGATCTCAAATTGCCATGGCACCACTGATTTTCTTAAAAGCGCCAGTTTTTAATTATCCAATTTCTTGGATTCAAAGTTCAGAAAATTAAAAGCTATAGGTAGTATGCATGGATTCGTAATTTTTTTCCCTACAAAAAACCTAAATAGACTTTCTCTCTAAAATAATTAGAGAGTCAATAATCAGAAATGAAAAAATTTCTATTGCAATTCCTATGATGCGTTGAACAAGTCACCACCCGGTATAATAATATATTTATTATGGAAAAACAAAAATTATGTTTATTATTCTAATAAAATCTTTCCTTGTCCAACCTCATAATTTTATATGTGGAGGCCAAATTTAGTTTCCGCCCTTGTATAACCAAACCCGCTCCATCAATTTTTTAAATGTTTAGAAAAGAGAAAAATGAAGAATTAAAATGTATCCTATTTCATGTAATTTATGATGTTATACAAGTGAGCGCTTATCTTATCTACATAAAGGCCGGCGTTGAAGCCGAGGAAATAAGGTTTGAGTATGTATTTTATTTTTACAAAAATGACTCCATCTATTACACACTTTTACCACACACAACAGTTTTCTGTGCGTCTACCACATTTTACGACAAATTATTTCGACTGCTGCAAGGTAGACAACACACTAACCGTACTCTATTAGGTGTTGCGTTTATTTCTATAGCATTGCATTGACCGTCTGTAGTATATGTTGTCTGTGATAATAGGTACCTACAATATGCATAGGTCGGCTTTATCGTGATTAAATTGACAGTAAGTAGGTACCTAAACTAAATGCTGAAATTCTATCAATACTAGCCTGTATTGTGTTTGTACTTACCTATGAAAAGTTATTCCAGTTATTTTCTTTTTGTCAATCCCATCCCGGGCATAACAACTCCGCACAGCACAACACACCATGTCGATAAAACGCAATTTATATAAATAGACCGGAATAATTACGGAAATAATTCGAAAATCACAACACAACACAAAATCTGACGGATGACGGATGTGTAGTAACAATATGGCGGACCGGGTCCCGCTTTGGTCACTTGAGGCGTTTTCGGAAATTATGCCCGAGTAAATAACCCAGTTGGTAGGTAACCTACACAGGTTCGCAACTCGAGTTATATGTTTTCCGAACGTTTTTACATAACCTAATATTCCTAACCGTGACATAACCTACATAAACATGTCTAACAAGGATAGTATAATCCATTCTACTATTCTTGGCACAAGTAGAAAACGCGCTACAGCAGCACTCCTTGCGTTTTGGACATCTGTAGTAAGTAGATTCCGACGACGATGATGACAATGTGATTGTTAGTCAACAACTTTTAACTACGAGAGAACATGGGGAAAGTAAACGTGTATGCATTAAGAATTATGTTGCCATTGTAGAAAGCTACAGTTTAGATGGTAATTAAAAATATTAAATTGCGTAGGTACCAGTTAAAAGTCATAGGTATTGTAGATTTCCGTAAACATTTCCGATTGACGAAAATGAGCTTTGAGGAAGTGCTAATTAAAATTGGTGATAAGTTGTCAATGGCTAGTTCCGTACACCACACTGGGAGACCTGGAAATGATGCGAAAACACAGTTATTAGTAGGTCTATGGATTCTCGCAAATCAAGAGTCGTACAGGTAAAATGAATTGTATAATTACTCTGAAAATGGTTAACATTTCCAGTCTTACAGAACCGTCGCCGATAGATTTGATCTGACCATTTCAACAGCATGGTGTTACTTTAGAAAAGTTGTAGATACTTTAGTTTCAATTGCGTCAGATGTAATTCAGTGGCCTAAAAATGAATCACAGAGACAGTGCTTCTCCACTGCATTTCGTAAAAGACAAGGATTTCCAAATGTTATAGGTACGATTGATGGAACGCACATACCAATAGTGGCCCCACACAATATGGCAAACTCTTACATCAACAGAAACAAATATTATTCAATTGTCTTACAAGGAGTTTGTAATGCTAGATATAAATTTATCGATTGTTATGCCGGTAAAGTTATTAATTAAAAAGGATACTATCATTTATGAACTCATTAGGTCCCCCTGGAAGTGTCCATGATGCCAGGGTATTAAAAATGTCTCCCTTAGGAAAAAAATTGAACCACAATATTCATGATCTCGTGCCCTCAGATTATCACTTGTTAGGTGATTCAGCGTATTCAAATGCAAGTCACCTACTTACGCCTTACAAAGACAATGGACATTTGAGTCGAAAACAGAAAAATTATAATTACAAGCACTCTGCTACAAGAGTAGCTATTGAGCAAGCATATGGGCTGTTAAAAGGTAGATTCCGCATTTTGAGATACGTAAATATATATGACACCAAAGTAATTCCCAGCGTTATTATAAGTTGTTGTGTTTTACATAATATTTGTGTTGATGCAAATGATTTAGATGTAGAGCCGTATCAAGAAGATGCAGATGCTAATGTTGCTGTAGGTATTAATGATAGAAACTTAGACACTAAAGGACGCATTAAACGTGATGATATCGCAGAAATTATAAATTAACAAATTTTTGTAAGATTAGTATTTATTTTACAATGTACATGTTGCTTTAATTATGTATTTAAATGCTTTTCGATTACATTAATCAAGCGTTCTTGCATTTTCATTTTCTCTTGGTGGCGTTTATCCATATCTTCGCGAAATTTTTTAAACCAAACTGGCTCATTTTCCTTGTTCTTACGTTTATTATTTGGTCGAAGCTGTGTACTGCATGATGGGGTGCTCCTCCCACTATCATTGATGGGACTATTTGGACATTCTGGTTCCTATAACAAAAGTACATGAAAGATTCAAAATATTGATGGAAATGCTAAACTCGAGGAACAAATTTAAATGAAAAGTATAAAACATTAAAACCTACCACATTCAGGCTGCTGCATTCTGCTGGTGGATTTATCTCAGGATTTTGATGCAGTAAATTATCCATAATGTCAAAATATTTAAATTGTAATCTATTTCTACCTGTGGCAGCATTGTGGTCAATCACCTTTTTGTACTGTTTTTTTAAATTTTTGAATTTATTTTCGCACTGCTCCCATGTGACCATGTAACCATTTGCATTCATCAGTTCGGCAATTTGTTGCAAAACTTTCCTGTTTGTTGTAGACTTGTCTTCAAATCTTGTTTTATGTTCCTCATACAGTGATATCAATAGCTTTATTTCATTATCTTGCCAATGATGATTTTGAGGCTCGGATGCACTTGCTTGGCTACGTTGAGTCACTATTGGTGTTTCCTGCTCCTGAGATACGCCATAATCATGATCCTCATAATAATCTTCATTGTTGAGGGTTATATCCTCTTGCTGCCAATTTTCAACCTCTGTACTTTCACGGGATTCCAAATCCGGGGCATGAGTTGTTCGAATATGTTCATTAACAATATTTTCATATGATATAAAGTCGCAGATTTCACATCGTGCGAGCACCCTATTCATTTTTGATTGTAGCAAATAATAAAACTAAAAGTCTTCTATTGACGATTTTGTCAAACAAAAAGGTAAACACTTCAATCAAAACATAACCTACAATACAGACGTACCCTACTCACTGACCAGAGTTATTACTAAACAACCGAGTTGCCAACCTGATCTAGTTTTCGAACGCAGACAAAATAACCGGTGTGAATAATCGAACGCTTGGGTTACAACTCGCTAAGAACCTACCTAACCCGGTTGAATTTCCGAAAACGCCTCATGTGTCGTCTCCGTTTATACTATCTCGATGCACAACACATTTTTGACAGTAATGTTAAAAGTTTGGTTATTTACTATTGTGGCTAAGTTGACGTCGCCGGAACACGAAACTTTCACTTTCGACCGATTAGCAACAACTATCTCCCGAACATTAGTTTCTAGACAAGGGCTTACAATCCAATCCTGATGAGCAGTTAAATGAACGCTTGCTCCGGAATCTATGTACCAGTCCGATTTACTAAAGTCTCCGCTTAAGAACACCGCACTGAACTGAACGCGTTCGTATGTTCATTTTTAACAGAGCTTACATTTGGACACCGACTTTTGAAATGCCCCACTTGTTTACACTTGTAGAACTTTACACTTTTGAAGCTAGAACTGTTATACCTGCTGAAACATTTTTCTTGGGTTTATTAGGCCAATTTTTTGCCGTAAAAGCCCCTCCAACCTTTTCGGCACCGACTTCCATATCAAGTAGTTTACTTTTTATTGAATCCGAGGTGATTGTTATTCCCGAATGCTCAATTGCCATGATCATTGGCGAAAATCTTTCGGGTAAACCTGCTAACAAAATCGAGTCAATCCATTCTTCATCAATATTAAAACCCGTGCCGCGTAGTTTCTGTGCAGTTTCAACGATTTGGTTGACATAAGCCGCCATGGAATCACAATTTTCCAAACGTGTCGATATCAACGTGCGCAATAGGGTAATTTTACGTGCAAACCCCGAATCATCAAATAATGATTTCAACTTCGCCCAAAGTTCTTTCGTGTTTTTTGTTTCACGAATATGAACATACAGCGAGGGATCTATGGTCAAAATTAACTTCGCTTTAGCGTCATCCGCTTCAACCACTTCCGTTACACATTTGGATAACCCTTCCAGAACTAGGAAATTTTCTACCGCAAATGCCCAATCAAAATAGTTATCACGACCTTTTAACTTAGGCACATTAACAATGTAATTCGCAGCCATTTCTGTGTTACTTAACGTTTTACTCACTAGTTTTAAATTCTGGGCCCATAACCTCTTAAAACAAACGTGCTTATCAAGTTTACCACACGGACTGACTGTTGTCCATCATGGCGCTGTTTATTTATACATAATACAGGGTTGCCAGATACGCATATTTTGGGCTCATATTAACAAAAGCAACTCAAATTTCTTGTAAATCCCATCTGGTCCAAAGTCGTATCTTTCTTCTAGATAATGAATTGCTCTTTGCAGAAAAATGTGAGCTTGCTCTGTAAACTGATTTTTTTATCTTCGCAGAGGTTTCTAAAAATAACCTTGACTTTACTTCCAAAAAAATTATTAGCTAACCGGCTTTTTAGTTGGTCAAAAAGATTTCGCATTGCACGATCGAGGTCTAAAATAGAGTGGGTATCACTTTCCAATATCAGGATTACTTTGGTGAATTCAGGCAAAACATTCTGCAAAAAGAAAAGATAGCAGTCATTCAGGCTTTCTTTCAGGCACTCTTCCTCATTATTAAAATCATTACTATCACATCCTTCGGAAATAAACTCCCAAAGCACTTTATGACTGTTAGCCGGACCTTTTTCTAAAAAATAATATTTTACTGCAGGCCAGCTATACATTAATCGATCTATAGCAGGCAAAAGTGATAACCATCTTGTAGGAACATGTCTTAGTAATTCTTTAAATTCTATTTGAGCAAACTCAAAACATTCTTTTAATTTTTTTGTTTTTAAAGCTGACGAACTAAATTCGTTGTATATTTTGATGACTATGTTTTCTACGTCAACATCAAGTCCTTTCAACGCATACTTTACACAATTATTTATTACATGACAATAGCAATTAGCTTTGAAAACATGATGATTTTCTGCTTTTAACTTCTGATACACGGAATTATGTATGCCATAATTTACAGAAGCGTTATCTGCACTATATGCGCTAATTTGACGCATGTTGAGGTCAGCATTAGTAGTAATTCTTTTCAAGCACCCATATATATCGAAGGATGTTTCATCGGCATCTTCATAAAAATCCAATAGTTTTTTGCATATACCTTTTTTACTATCAAAATATTGAACAGCATACGAAAACGTTTTTATATTACCAACGTTAGAAGCGTCAGAACCTACTGAAAAATAATGAGATTGTTTCAAATCAGCTATCAACTTTTCCTGTGAATATGGTTGTTTTGCCCTTAAATAGAGTGGACTGTATTACTTGTTACTTTCGGTAAAAACGAATGGCTTCTCGAAGATATAAAAACAACCTTCCTGCTAACATGCTTTATTGCAACTGCGTGCTCCTCCTCTCTCTCTCCATGCGCAAGAAAACACAAAACTACATTCACTTCCTTAACATATACCGCCCACCTTGAAAACAGTACGGTTTTCAAAACAAACAAGTTAAATATAATTGATCAAAATTAACTCTAATAATATGCAAACAAAACGAAATATTTGTCCTAATTATAAACAGCCTGTGGCCTGGAAACATAAAACCCAATTGTTTGTTAACAAAAGAACGATCACTGTGACCTCTGCTAAACACTAAAACTTTAAATCACTTCACTATCGGTTGAAGTGGTTATGTTGTCACATATGGGAAGCGGGAAAATTTTTGCGAATCCTCTCTTGATGTTCCCGTTGATTGTTTTAATAACGGCAACTCGATTTATTCCGTCAGGTCCTGGATATACTTCAACTACTCGGCCGATCCTCCACAATGACGTCGGGAGATTGTCCTCCTTGACCAACACCATTGCACCTTTTTCCAAATTTCTGCCTTGTGCTCTCCATTTTGTGCGTTGCTGAAGTTCAGTTATGTACTCCCTACTCCATCGCTTCCAAAAATGCTGATTTAATTGTTGTATCCGTTGGAAAAGAGATAGTCTACCCTCTGGAATGCCCAAAACGTCTGGATCCGGAGCAGCCACCATGGATCTTCCTATCATAAAGTGAGCGGGGGTAAGGGGGTTAAGATCATTAGGGTCAGATGGCATGGGCGACATGGGTCGAGAATTCATGATTGCCTCAATTTGAACCAATAAACTATACATTTCTTCATACGTCAATGAATCATTCCCCGCTACACGTTTTAAGTGATGCTTGCAAGAGCGCACACTAGCCTCCCACAACCCGCCAAAATGGGGTGACCGTGGGGGTATGAAATGCCAATTAATTTCCTTATTGCTCATTTTGTCAGATGTAATATTTTTACTAGCGCTGAGAAAATTTTGCAATTCCTTTAGTTCTGACTTCGCACCAACAAAGCAAGTTCCATTGTCGGAGTATATATTATTGGGTTTTCCCCTACGTGCAATAAAACGTCTGAGTGCTAAAATAAAGGCTTCAGTACACAAGCTAGTTACTAGTTCGATGTTCGATGTGCACAGCTTTCGTGACGAAACAAATAAAAATACAAATATAAGCCTTTGAGGTCTTAAAACCACGGCCTTTACGATCACGTATATGTAGTGGGCCAGCATAATCAACACCCGTGGTTTGAAAAGGAAATGAGGGCTGTACCCTTGCGAGAGGCAAATTGGCCATTATAGGATTTATTTCTTTTGGTGCTGCGCGAAAGCATTTTACACATTGATGCACTATTTGCTTGGCAATATTTCTTCCGGCAGTGACCCAAACACGTTCGCGAATTGCGGCTAACATTTGCTGAGGTCCAGCATGCATTAAACGTATATGTTCACGTGCGAATATTAATTTAGCTAGTCTATGACATTTGTCAAAGCTATATTTTGAATTACTTAGACGGCCTCCAACACGTATTAGACCCTTAGAGTCCAAGAATGGGGTCAAACTTTGAATGTGA